AGTAGGATTCCCATCAGTGCTCATAGTAGACCAATTTAGAATAGCCCATTGTTTTATTAGGTTATTTTAGTTGTGTGTATTAGGTTATTACATTTTTTTTTTAGGAGGACATATGACCTGCAACTGAGGCAAAGCTCACTGGGTAGTACATTTCACGCCAAAAAGCTTCAGTTTTGTCTCTTCTGTCAAAGGTCATTTTCCCAGAAGCTTTGTGGCTTGTTAATATGCACTTTAACATATTGCAGTCTGGTGTCTTCTTTTTTATATGCTCCTGAGTCCACTGCTAGCTTGACCTTGGACTTCAGCATGTATCTCTGCAGGATTGTGAATTGAAGCGCCACACTCCGTTTATTAATCCAGATACATTTTTATTCAATGTAGGGTTGAGGGGACAGCGTAGAAGTAGCCAACATTTTGGGGGCTCATACAAATACCCCCTTCATCAGGGCTTACTAAGGGAGGACATGTATCAGGACAGTGATGGGTTGAAATGACCATTTAGTTTTGTGTGTGAGAATGTATAGAGCTCTTCAGCACGTTATTTCAGCAGCAATGTTTTAATGAGCTGTAAGGTATGATTTTTATATATATACAATATAGTGCCAAAAGTATTGGGACGCCGGCCTTTACACGCTCATGAACTTTAATGGCATCCCAGTCTTAGTCCATAGGGTTCAATATTGAGTTGGCCCGCCCTTTGCCGCTATAACAGCTTCAACTCTTTGGGGAAGACTGTCCACAAGGTCTAGGAGTGTGTCTATGGCAACGTTAGACCATTCTTCTAGAAGAGCATTTGTGAGGTCAGGTACTGTTGGATGAGAAGGCCGGGCTCGCAGTTTCCGCTCTTAAGGTGCCCATACACTGCACGATTATCGTACGATAATCGTATGCGATCGGTTTTTCGTACGAGAATCGAGCATTGTGAACGGAGACGTGCGACCGTTTCTACTGTACGGTCGCACGTCTTCTGTCGAACCAGCATGTTCGAAAACCAGCCGGGAATCGTACGATTCTCGGCTGGTTAGAACGGTGCTCGGAAGACAAATGCTGAACGGGCCGGTGTGCGCACGCGCACACTGCCCGTTCAGCATTGCGGTCATCGGAAGCCCGCCCCTCAGGGGGGCGGGCTTGCGATGATCGAGAGTGCGATCTGCCTGTCCAAGATAGGCAGATTGTACGTTTTTTTAATCCCTGTACAACCATCGCAAGACTAAGGTCTTGCGATGGTTGTAGAGTGTATGGCCACCTTTATTCATTCCAAAGGTGTTCTATGGGGGTGAGGTCAGGACTCTGTGCAGGCCAGTCAAGTTCCTCCACCCCAAACTCTCTCATCCATGTCTTTATGGACCTTGCTTTGTGCACTGGTGCGTGGTCATGTTGGAACAGGAAGGGGCCATCCCCAAACTTCCCACAAAGTTGGGAGCATGAAATTGTCCAAAATGTCTTGGTATGCTGATGCCTTAAGAGTTCCCTTAACTGGAACTAAGGGGACAAGCCCAACCCCTGAAAAACAACCCCACACCCCATAATCCCCACTCCACCAAACTTTACACTTGTCACAATGCAGTCAGGCAGGTACTGTTTTCCTGGCAACCGCCAAACCCAGACACGTCCATCGGATTGCCAGATAGAGAAGTGTGATTCGTCACTCCAGAGAACACATCTCCACTTCTCTAGAGTCTAGTGGCGGTGTGTTTCACACCACTGCATCCGATGCTTTGCATTGCACTTGGTGATGTAAGGCTTGGATGCAGCTGCTCGGCCATGGAAACCCATTCCATGAAGCTCTCTACGCACTGTTGCTGTGCCAATCTGAAGGCCACACGAAGTTTGAGGTCTGTAGCTATTGACTCTGCAGACAGCGACTTCTGCGCACCGTGCATTCAGAATGCGCTGACCCCGCTCTGTCATTTTACGTGGCCTACCACTTCATGGCTGAGTTGCTGTTGTTCCCAGTTGCTTCCACTTTGTTATAATACCACTAACAGGTGACAGCGGAATATTTAGGAGGCAAGGAAATGTCACGGATGGACTTATTGCACAGGTGGCAACCTATCACGGTACCATGCTTGAATTCACTGAGCTCCTGAGAGCGACCCATTCTTTCACAAATGTTTGTAGAAGCGTCTGCATGCCTAGGTGGGAGATTTTATACACCTGTGGCCATGGAGGTGACTGGAAAACCTGAATCCAATGATTTGGAGGGGTGTCCCAATACTTCTGCCAATATAGTGTGTTCTGAGAAATTCATTTTGAGTTTGATGATAGATATATATATATATATACGCACACATACACAAAACAGACGCCTGAATTTGTCAGAATGTTCTGCTAGCAAAAATGGCAACTTCTTAACTGTCAGATTGAAAACAGCCTGTCAGAAAGCATTTAGTGCTGGGCTTTCTAATTAGAAAGTCTAGCATGCATTGCATACACAGTGTCAGGTATGTATTCTGTAGTACATAGATAACAGTTTTTTAGAAACATCCATTTCTAAAAATCAGGTAATAAAAAACGTAATATAAAATTGGGAAGAAAACATGATCACCGTCATAGGTTGAGAAGAACCAGGAAGACCAGTTTTCTGTACTGCTGGCATATGCCTAGTAAGATGCTAATCACCTGTTTATTTATACATATCTAATTATCTCTGCAGATGACCATATTGAGACGTGATTCATACGGTAAATCATTGCGACAATGGGCTCGTATAACTACTAAAATCTTTCTAAGCAACCTTCTTTCTCTCAAGGATAGAAGTTTTGTTGAGCAAAGCATTCCGAGGATCATGGTTCAGTTCACTCTGGAAGATGGATGTCATTAGAAAGCTATGTCATTCCCAAAGCTTCATCGGATGGGGCATAGCAACCATATATAATGAAGAGTTGTGGTAGTGTTACATCTCTGGAAACATTACGAGTTGGGGAAATAGTTTCTGTGGTTTGTCTGGGGTTATGTATGATTTACAGAGCACTCTCATGGAGGTTTTGCCAAGGTTAATATTAATGGTGTTTTTGGCCTGTCTCCTATGTGTCTTGCCAACTTTCTTTATCTATAGCTGATATATACAGTAAGATATTTGAAGACCCTAGAAGTCTTTATTATACTATAGTGTCAGTTTAGAGAGTCATTTATTGCCAAATGAGCCAAATCAAAAATAAACAAAAAAAAATTAAGTTTTGACTGTATTTGGGTTTAAAGCCCCCCGTCTGTGCAAGTCAAATTTCTAACCCTAACCAGCTCCCCCAAGTCCTCTAAAGCAGTGGCTCTCAACCTGTAAAACGTCAGGACCCAGACTTGTCCTTGGTCATTAATTCGCGACCCAAGTCGCACCGCACTGGCACACCGGCATTGCGTTATCGCATGTTGTGGTGCAAGCGATTAAACTGAGCTGGAGGTGTGTTTGGGGTGCCAAATGAAATTATTGGCAACACAATGCACTTCCTGCACCAGAACGAACAGTAGGTGCGATTGCACGGTAGTTTGCAACTAAAACACTGACAGACACACACACACACAACCACGCACACAATCTCACAAAAATATTTTTAGGGGTTCCTTGTGGGCTGTAACAGAGCTCCATTCCATTCATATGTGCATTGCTTGTACAGCTCCTTTGCACTCCCTGTAGGAGGTGCCGGGAGCCAGAATGTGACATCACTCCAGTCACATGAGGGAGCTGTAAGCAATGCACGTATGGTTGGAGCTCCATCATGGCCATGGCCCCATCCCACCCCACCTCAAGCTGAATGGCTGCTCGGCACGAGAACTGACAGTGCCGTGCTAGGGGGAGGCTGAGGAGCCTCTCACCTAGTGCACTGGAAGGCATGCGGCGACCCACTGAACATGGGGTTGCGACCCACTTTTGGGTCACGACCCACCAGTTGAGAACCAAGGCTCTAAAGAACTTATTTGACTTTCCTTGATCCCGCTGGGAGATATAGTTTCGTCCATGTGGCGTCATTACCCACTTTCACAATCTTTTTCCTGCAGGGAGCGTCTATGTGATGTAGTTCAGCAGACTCCTACTACTTGGGCCGCTGGAGTTAGAAGGTGGTGGGTGTCAAGGAGATTGGTAGTACAGCTAGCCTGCGGGCCAGTCTCCCCAACAGGAAAAGCTGCTTCCACAACAGGTAATAGGCTGCGTTTCATGTGTGCGTTAAAGTCTATCTCTTTTAGTTTTGGATAGAGAGGGGACAGGTTAGACCCTCTGTATTGCTGTCTGTGTCCCTATTTTGCAAATTCACCCCTCTATTTGTCCTGGTGACCATTGTCACTCAGAAAGAGAGCTTCTAACGGGACACTTGTTCCGGGGTCCCCTATACAATAGGGAAACTCCCCTCAATTTCTTTTAAGTTCCTGTTGCTTCTCTGAGACAGGAAGTGAAGTGAAATTTCACTAGTAATACACGGACAATAAAAAAATAACCTGACAAAAGGTTAAAGTTGGTTGCATATCTAAATAGGCTTTAACATGCTATACATTCATTTTAGAACTAAGTAGACAAACACAGAACATGAAACAGTTTATTAGGATATGTTGTATTGACAAGAACATGACGGTTTACTTTACTATTTCTAAACTCTGAAAGATAGGGGATCACGCCAGCTAAAACTAACTAATATGATTGGATGCTAGCGGTCTGAATGACCCCCTGGCTTCCAGCTCATCCAACAGCAAGGCCTTCCTGCCACAGCTTACATCCTGGTTGCTTCCTCCTCCTGCAGCTACAGCAGTCATCAGTCATCATAGTAACACAATTCAAACAGGAGGGGGGGGGGGGGGGGGATCAATAGGGTGCGGTGG